TTATCTTTTTCTCTCCTTCCTACTTCTCCCTTTCTGCCTGTTTGGATTTATTGTTTTCCTGTCACTTTCTCAGGCTGCCTCCCTCTTCCTCCTTTTTTTATTTTTTAATCTTATTTTTCCCTCTCTCTTTTCTCTGCCTCCCTCTTTCTCTTCCTTTCATCCCCCTGCTCTCCCCATCCATCCCTTCCTCTCTCTCCTTTCCCTTCCCCTTCTCCACTGTGGCCTGGAGGGCAGCAATAATTTGGGGGGATGAATTTTGCAACCCCAGGGAGCAGAGAAGCTCCTCGGAGCCCCCAACACCCCTCGTCCATCCTCCCCGTGTCACGGGGGGTGACTCCCCAACACCCCCACCCTGGTCTCAAAGAAGGGGGGGGGGAGGGGGGCTGGGGATGCTGCTGTGGGTCCCTGACTGCTCCCTGTGTCCCCAGGGAGCGAGGTGTCCCAGGAGAGCCTGCTCCTCCACGGCCCCTTCGCCCGCAAGCCCAAGCGCATCCGCACAGCGTTCTCGCCCTCGCAGCTCCTGCGCCTGGAACGGGCCTTTGAGAAGAACCACTACGTGGTGGGCGCCGAGCGCAAGCAGCTGGCCAGCAGCCTCAGCCTCTCCGAGACCCAGGTACCCCCCAGGGCAGCCCCCCAGCTTGTCCCACTGCCCCATCCAACCATCCATCCATCCATCCATCCATCCATCCATCCGCAGCTCAGCGTCGGGCTCGCCAGACACGGCACCGACCCCGCGCTGAGCTCCGGCCACGCTCTGCAAAATCCCAGCTGGGTTTAGCCAGGAATTCCCTCGTGGAATCTGTGGCCGAACCCTGCGGGTTGGTCTGGGCTCAGGAAGGTTGGGGTGGGCTTTATTTTTGTGCAGTTTGGTCGTTACTTCCAGCCCTGGCAGGGCTCAGGGCTGGGGGTGCAGGTGCCACTCTCTGGAGTGTTGTTCCAGTGTTATTTCCTGCTTGTTTAAGGGTGTTTTCCCCTGGAGTAATAGATGATTTTAAAAATCCAGTTAAAAAAAAAAAGAGGGGGAAGCATGAGACCTTTCCCTGGAGAGCTGCAAGGTTTCCCCCTGGTTGTGCTGCTTTGGTGGGGTTGTTGCCCAGCAGGCAGTGGATTTTAAAAATACATCCTTTTTCACACACATTTAGAAATGAATAGACCCAGGAAGATCTTAGGGATAAAAGCTGATGGTGCTGGGAGGACAGAGAGAAGTTGGGACTGAACATCTCTGTGTGTGCGTGAGCCTGGTGTCCTGGTGAGCAGCTGTTCCCAAAAGCTCCAGGTGATGAGATCCCATCATATCCAGGAACAGAGTTGATGGAGAAAGTTTCCTCCCAATTCTGGCGAGGTGCTTCGGCCTATATTGGGAATTCATTTAATTGTTATCCTTAAATTGGATTGGAACACAAAGCTGGAGCCCTGGGTGCTCCCAGTGCCCGCCCTGGCTCATCCTCCCCCAGGCTCCTCCAAAGCAAAACCTCCAAATGCCTCTTGGAGTTATTGGGAGGAAAATATCAGGGGGGACAGGGGGGGGATCCCAGGTGACAATATCGGGCAGGACAGAGCCCACAAAATCCGAAGGTTGTTTGTATCCCGACCCCCCCCC